TATTTTATCAATCCACAGCTCGCGTGAAGAAATGTGCAATAGATTTCCATTTAGATAACATTTTGAAAGCTTATTTGAACTATCTAATTTCAAGTCTTCATTTCCGGGTCCCTTTTCTCCTCTCTGAATGTTGTTTGCCTACAACGAGTTCCAAAGAGAATTTTAAGTTTTAATATTAATAATTGATTAAATAATTTGTTCTCATAATTGATGCGATATGCTTGCCAAAGAACAATTGCAGAATGACGTGATATAGTAATACGAGATTAAGAAGAAATGTAATTTATGTGAAAGTAGAGTACAAAATTAATTTTATGCAGAAGAAGAATAATTCCATGCTAAAATATGACAGAGCAACCGTATCATTTTTTTAAACTTCTGATTCAGGAATTTTCAAGAAAGGAAGCTATCAATTTATGTATTTCGTGTCCTCTACGAATTTTTGGATTTAAAATGATTGCTAGAGCAGACCCTTTCATTTTTTTTCTGTAATTCAGATGCTTAATTGTTTATAAGTAATTCAATTCTTCTTACTAATGTCATATTAGGCGATACTGAACATTTATGTAGTACGTTTTGCAAAAGATTTAAGCGTAATTAAATTCTGCTCATGTTTAGGGATTATAGAGATAATAACCACACGGATTGAGTTCTACCGATTTGTCAGGTGGATTTTAAAGATTTTTATCTCTCAATTCGGCCCTATTGTAGTCGGTATTAATAACCCCTTGTATCTACGAACCGTTTAAAATAATCTTTTGTCAATAAATAGATTAAACCTACAAATAACAATGTATTCTATGATCATGGATATCGAAGACATTGTACATAAAATAGAAGGATAAAGTTCAAAATGATGACATGGAAAACACCTATTAAAGAAGACAAAGTATATGTATTACTTATTATTAAACAGTCTCTGTACATTTATTTACCTATCTATCTGTAAAACAGCTGCTGTCTATATAATTTTATGTGTTATTTCTCTGTCAAACAGCTACTCTCTATAATTTTATGGATCAATTACATGAAGTTATTGGTGTATTCAGAAACACAGTCTAAGAAACCGTCCATTACCTTGGATGTAGTCATAACAGAAAGATGTAGGAGTCAGAAATGATACTAATTCAAATGTGATTGTCGATGTAATTCAGGGCTTTATTATATCCCAATTGCAAATCCTTGAATTGTATTGCTCAAACCCTTTAAAATAATTTGAAAATATGAGAGGGCATCCTAGTTTAATGAATTATCGTATTTACTGACTCTCGTATAATGTTGTTCAAATTTCAAGTAAGTGAAATATGAAGATAACGAACAGTATTCAATCTCGAAAGTCCAATGAAACGATACGAATTTGGAGCAGAACAAACACGGACCTCAAAATTTAGAGGTGGGATCAGGTGCCATGGAGGAGTGAGCATCCCCTGCCGACCGGTCACACCCGCCGAGTGCTCCTTTTCATGATCGGGAAACAAAAACCGGAAATATCCGTAGACAGTTCAGTGTATAAATAATGGCCTAACAATCAGTATGAAAAACGTCAGTCAGCATTTGACTCAATGACAGGTTGTATGTGCTGACAAGGTCATTGTATCGACCGAAAAACTTGCGAAAAGTTCACTTCAAGCGAGACTGTTGATATCCTTGTTTCGTCAACTTGTTTGTAATAGCTTGCCTCGTTTTAGAAATTGTTCATACGTAGAGCATGCTCTTGCGTATCGAATCAACTGAGAGACATAAACCCCATATGCAGGTGATAAGGGTATTTTGCTGCATAATTAAGGGAAGTTGACGATTGAAAAGTTAAAGTCATCACGTTAATCATAAACCTTAGTTTTTATGTTACCATTTTCTAGTAAAATATCCAAATATGAAACAGATGTGTCAGAATCTGTGGTATCTTTTATTTCAAGCTCACTGGGATATATCGAGTCGACATATGAATGAAAGTAACTATTGATAATTGATAATACCTCGTCGATATATCGAAATGTCGAGTTGAAGCCCACAGCAAGTGTTTTCTTCTTCTCATGTAGAAGTTTTTGAATAAATTCTGCTTCAGGTGAATACAAAAATAGGTCTGCTAATAAGGGGCGCATTTATTTCCACTTCAATATTTTTTCTAATTGGCTTAAATGATTTTCTTGTCATTGTTCATTGTATTGGTGGACGATGATCCTGATAAGTAACATATACATATATGATGCAGATGTAAGATGCAAAATGAAAACATGATATTATTTTTCTTTATACCAGATCTTTTCTGAAGAAAATTCAGATACTTTGTACATTGTTTCTAGCCCGTCTGGCATCTTCCTTGGTAATTGAAGTCTTCTGCTTTTTAGTGATAGCCAGAAAACAAGAAAAACTATTCTTAGGTCATTGGTCATTTGCAAAATTATTTTGTTAAAAAACATTCTGATTGTATACACAAGTCTCTGAAGCTGGTATTAAAAAGATGCTTGAGTTTCTGATTGACAATATCTATGTGGTTTTTGGATATCAGGTCTTCCAACAATCTGTTGGAATTCCCATGGATACCAATCGCGAACAGTTCTTAGTAAACCTAATAGTATTTTTTTTTTATCATATGAAGCATAATTTATTCAAAAGAAGAAGAAAACACATGCTGTAGCCTTCAACTTGATTTTTGAGTCGCCCGTGTGGCGCAGTGGTTAGAGCGTCTGCTCTAGAGTCGCGAAGTAAGGAGTTGATCCTTACGTCGCGGGTTCGAATCTCACTGCGGGACGTGGAGACCGGTCCTTTGGATGAGACCGCATAAACCGAGGTCCCGTGTCGCAGTAGGTGCAGGCATGAAAAAGATCTCTCACTGCTCAATGGCCCTGAGTGCCGAACATAGGTCAAAATTTGTAGCCCTCCACCGGCAAGTGGTGGCGTCTCCATATGAGTGAAAAATTCTCGAGAGGGACGTTAAACAACATACAATCAATCAACTCGACTTTTAGTTATATCGACGACGCATTATCAATTAACAATAGTTATTTCCATTCATATATCGACACGATATATCCCGTGAGTTTGAAATAAAGGATACTACAGATTCTGACACATCTGTTTCATATTTGGATATTTTACTAGAAAATGGTAACATAAAAACTAAGGTTTATGATGAACGTGATGACTTTAACTTTTCAATCGTCAACTTCCCTTAATTATGCAGCAAAATACCCTTATCACCTGATACGTGGTTTATATCTCTCATTTGATTCGATACTTAAGAGCATGCTCATTTTGTGAGTTCTATGGTCGATACAATGACCTTGTCAGCAAATACAATCTATCATCAAGTCATATGCTGACTGGCGTTTTTCATACTAATTGTTAGGCTATTATTTACACACCGGATTGTCCACGGATTTTCCGTTATTTCCCGATCATGACAAGGAGCACATGGCGGGTGTGACTGTCCGCAGGGGATGCTCACTCCTCCATGGCACTTGATCCCACCTCTGATGTTTTAGAGGTCCGTGTTTGCTCTGCTCCTGATTTGTATTGTTTTTATGGACTTTTGAGCTTGAATACTGTTCCTTATCTCAATATTTCATTCTACTCATGATTGGTTATGTGCAATATGGGTTTTGATAAAAGATCCGTGTTGAAAAAATGTGCTGAAATGTTACATTTCTAATGTATTTTATTCATTTTGAGTGTAATTAAAACAATAAGTTTTTTCATGTCATATCAAGAGTTACTATTTTGTAAAAATATTTTCTAATCTGATCTTTTTTAAGGCTTCTAAGGGGCTCAGAAAGGTTTTCCGTCTTTGAAACTAAATTTATCTTTTGACATACTTGTATGAATTTTAATTTTGTGACGGAATCGTTACGACAGATGTGTTTCCTAATGATGTCACCGATATTCATTCCCCAGTAGCTATGTAGACTAAAATTGTTTTAAAGCCACTAAGGATCCAAAATGATACTATTAGTCATGTTTTGGATCCTGTATGTGACCTTCACTCTTTGGATCAGTTATAATTAAAATGTTTTGGAGAAGTTCCGTTTCAATTAACTTTGAGTCCTACAATTGTCAAGATTTCGTAGATGCTGTGCATTACGATACACACAACTTTAGATACTTGTATCGAATTCCAGATTTAAATTTGGTGATATAATAATTGCGAGAGTATCATTCCATAATAGCTAAGTTTTATTTTGATTTTCCATAATTGCTTTGATGATGCAACTTATATTCTGTCCCCAGTAGCGTAAGTTCCTAAGTTTACAGGAAATATTTTAGGAGTAGTGAGGTGCTACGATTGCAAAACCTCTTATTCACACTAGTGACCTTAAACTGGAGCATTGTTCGTAACAGAATAGTCCTATATGTTCCAAAGAGAAGTAGAATTTTCATTTTACCATGAGGTATAGGAATAGGACATTTATCATGTTTATTGCTTGTATCAAAACGTACCAAGGTCACCTATATGGGGACCTGATATTGATGTCATTCCTTGAAAAAATAAGCACAGTCAATCACTAATTCAAATTGATATTAAATTGGTATTTATGTCTCCTTACAGCTATTACAAGACCTTTTAAAAATGCTCTTTATGGAACATTTCATGACATTGCTCTTTGGTACTTATTGAATTATTCTATACTTCTGCTGTTTAAAAGCACCAAACACAAAATATACATGAGATGCTCACGTTTAGCTCACCACAATACCCGAAAACCCTAGACATCTAAGGCAATATGATTTTATTTTCTTTTTTTGAATATTATTTAAAATATTCGAGGTCTCATTATGTTTTCTTTATTATTATTATTATTATTATTATTATTATATCCTCTTCAGATGCTCAAAAACACAAGCTTGCACTATGCTGTGGTTGTTTTCTTATCGATATTATTATCGCGACTGACTTTGTTTTCTTGGAAAACGCTTTAGTATCTATACATCGCTTAATTGGAAGATTTGATTTTTTTTAATCTATGATTTTAATTATTAAAACTGCATAATCTCTATTACAGGTGTATTGTTTGAGTGCTTGTCCTATGTAAATGCAGGTATGTTTGTGCTTTTATCTATAGATCCATTAAATATTTTATTATTTATGGTATATATGTATATAATGGAGTTAAAATTTATGAAAAGGCAAACAAATGTTGATTTTGTTTGCTAATAAATTCATTTATTTAAAATTTCAATATTATTTAAAATTCTTGATCTCCCTGGAACATCTGAAAATATTAAGAAAACGAAATAAAAATGAGAAAAACTGTGTGAAAATTCTAACCTTGATAAATAATTTTTTCATCACAGTAATAGATATTTCGAAGTAATTTATTTAAAAACATTGAATGCTTTGAAAATCTACATTATCAAATTTATTATACAAAATAAATGTATAAGAACATGAGACCAAGTGTCTTCAAATTGGTGCAATTGCTTAGTACACAAAATGTGAAAGAATTTTTATGTAATCTAGGATTTTTTGTTTTTGTAATTAGCGAGTGCAACAGGAACAGTGTCTTTAACTAATTTATAAATTACTGAAATATCATTATATTATATATTGTACATGTTGGATGTTAATTTTATCATTATATGTATTAAATATATATGATTATAGATATCATTATATCATATATTGTTCTTGTTGGATGTTAATCTCACCATCATATGTACTAAAATGTGTGATTGTAAATATTGTCTATGAGATGTATATCTCTTGACTTGAACAAACTGAAACCAGAAAACTGGAATGTTTTCTTTCTCCAACAGGATGCGGAGGTTATATTGAGCTGACGGCTGGGGAGACCCGGTCTATAGCCTCAGGCAGTTCTTATGGTGCCTACTCTAATTGTATATGGATCGTTAAATCACCTGATCAGTATCTGGTCAATATAGACCTTACCTTTAAGGGCGAAAAGTCTTCCACTGGCGCCTGTGAGGATTACATAGTTGTAAGTTTTACATGTATAATTCAATTTTCTTAAACTTACTTTTACATTTACAGGTGTATGCATATTTTCAAGTTATACATTATATTACATAATTATATATTATTACAGTATATTTTTAAAGTTAAGTTTACATGTTTTTTTTTTTAAAGTTCACTTTTGCTTTTATTTACACTTACATTCACTTCCATTCAAATTACCTGAGATTTCTTTGATTTTTAAAAGCTAAAAATGTTCTTAAAATATTATCAAATGATAGATCTAAAAGCTACATGAAAACTGAAATGTGAAAATAACGAACAGGGAAAATATTTAAATCCAAACTCACACAGGTTGCCTGCTAATGCTGTCCGTTTCTGTCCATCCTCGTGGTCAGTATCTGGTCCTCTAAAATGTTTGAACCAGTTTAAAGAAATTTTAACACATAGCCAAAACTATGAATTTTTTGAACTGTGGGGATGGGTGGAGCTGTTGCCAAGATTCCACCAAAATTACTATACATGTTTATCCTTTAAAAATCTGCTTTTATAAATTAAACAGCAGAACTGTAGTTATGGCTATTATGATCGTATGATCGGTAAGTCATTAACCATAATTGTTTTAATACATATATAAATATTCCAGAAATACTCAGTAAATATCATATTAACATCTTTCTAATAAGTAGCAAATTTAGTTTTTAATAAACCAATAAAACATCTTTTTCAGATAACAGATGGGTCTGCTTCTGCCAATGAAATCCTAAATACTTGTGATGACCAAACAAACGCGGTGCATAATTCTTCGGCACGATGGATGTACATACAATTCAAAGCTGATGGTGCTGACACAACACAGGGTCTTACAGCCACCCTGACCACTGTATATACAGGTGGGTACTCTAAATACACCACCCTGACCACTGTATATACAGGTGGGTACTCTAAATAAACCACCCTGACCACTGTATATACAGGTGGGTACTCTAAATACACCACCCTGACCACTGTATATACAGGTGGGTACTCTAAATAAACCACCCTGACCACTGTATATACAGGTGGGTACTCTAAATACACCACCCTGACCACTGTATATACAGGTGGGTACTCTAAATACACCACCCTGACCACTGTATATACAGGTGGGTACTCTAAATAAACCACTCTGACCACTGTATATACAGGTGGGTACTCTAAATAAACCACCCTGACCGCTGTATATACAGGTAGATACTCTAAATGCATCACCCTGACCACTGTATATACAGGTGGGTACTCTAAATACACCACCCTGACCACTGTATATACAGGTAGGTACTCTAAATACATCACTCCGACCACTGTATATACAGGTAGATACTCTAAGTACACCACTCTTACAACTGCATATACGGGTAGGTTATCTTACAACACAACCCTGTCAACTGCATATAAAGGTGGAAAATCTTATACCACCACCCTGACAACTGCATATAAAAGCGCATGGGTTATCTTATAACGACCACTGCGTATACAGGTTGGTTATCTTATAACACCACCCAGACCACTGCATATACAAGGTGGTTTGAAGTTGCGTTTCATGGGTCCCAGTGTAACTTATATGCAAAAAATTACTTTTAGAAATAATTGTTTATTTGTCATAATATGGATGAAGAGGTATAAATATTTTAACTCTAGTTGTCTCTCCACCTCTTGGGATTTGGAATTAGACCAAGGCTATAAGAATTTATTCAATCTTTAAACATCCTATTCTTTGCCCCTGGGCATCAAGCGAGTAAACTGTTTGCATGATAAGTATACATGGGAGGTTAATCCTCTACCATTATTATGAAATGTATTGTCCTGTTGTTTAGAATTCAGAACCCAGTTTTCGGCTAAGTTGGTCGTAAAAAATTATAAAATGAATTATATCCTTGACAATCATCTTTACTGCTGGACATTTAGCAGCAGGTGACCTGTTTGCGGGATTTTTATGAGCGAGCAGTTAGCTCTCCGAACGTTATGTCACCTTGTCCTGGCTTGGAAGAACTATGTTTCCTTTAAGTATGTTACTCGTGACATGAGTTATATCAAGGATGTTTTGAGACGTATATTTTAGATATCTACTCAAATAGCATGACTCAAAATCGCAAAGAAAATTGGGGGTCAGTGTGCATCTTACTGATCTGCGATACAATTAACTTGAACTGTTTGCACTTAAGTTGTAACTTTTAAGTTATTCACTTTAGCTTTTATCGTATTTTACCAAATGTAATTAAGTCAATAAATATAATCTTTATTTCATGTAAAATAGCTTGAATAATATTAAGTTCTGAAAAAAATCCGGCAAATTTTAATTAAAATGCTCATAAATTATTGTGTGACCCTTTTGCACTAAAAATGAATTGTTTGGGTTATTTTGTTTGTTTGTTTATTGTTTAACGTCCCTCTCGAGAATTTTTCACTCATATGGAGACACCATTAAAATCTACATAGGCAATAAATTTATTGCTGATTGGTTGAAAGTATCGTGTACTTTAGAAAAATGAAAGAAAAGTTGGGGCAAGTGATGTACAATATTTAAGATATCTTTACTTCTTTTAAAAATATATCTTCATTTTTTGGCAGTCTTTTGAGTGAATTTGTAAAACTTGTTTTAAAATATTAATTGAAACCTGTATTTAATATTCCTAGCATATAATAACGAAAAAAAAAATTCCAAGTATAAAGAGTTCCAAGATAATAAAATGTGATTTAAAGAATTTCTTCTAAATATATTCTCCCACTACAAGAAATAGTTCCCCATAAATCTCGTTTCTTTACAATTTTGTGAGCAGTTTTTAAATTAAGTATTAAATAATTTGGCATTGTTTAATTCTAATATATCATAAAAATTTAATTGTAATAAATAATTTTGAAGTTAGAGGTTCTGACCATACTTTTCTGAAAAGCTGACGAGTGACATACCTTAAATTGAAAAGGCAAGATATTTTTAACATCTTTGATCGGACATCTGGCTAAACAAACCGTTTTTATGAGCATAATATCGTGAGCTCTTAGCCATCTACCAAGGTTAGCCTTCTACTATGGTTTACACACCCCAGGCCAGGATATAGAGCTACGTTGAAATATTGAAAATGCATCATATTCAGCTTTTAAAATCTATTTTTTGAACATTTAGCAGACAAATATTATGCAATAATTTTGAAAGTCTAAGCAAAATTCAAATTTCACAATGTCAAGTGTCCAGAGCTCTAGTTTAAGGTGGGGCTTAACTGGTCATATGTTAAGAAACGCAGGTTAATTAGGTGACCACCAAGGCCTATGTGTCTCTTGGTTGAGGAACCAAATGTAGGATGTTCATACATTTTAATTCAAATTTATTCTCATTTCCTTTTTTATCCAGGTTCCAGTTATAGCAGTGTCACAGATCCTGTACCGAGTAAGTACTTATCTAGAAAAAAAAATATTTGTTATAACTTCTTAGTCGATTGTGCGGGATTCATGCTTTACAAAGAAGTAATAATTTTTCACCAAGTCATACAAAAAAAAAAGGAATTCTTACTGAAAGGATAACAAACAGTAATCATGCTCAAAAGTCTACTGAAACAAAAAAATGTGAGCAGACCAAACACGGACCTATAAAAACAGAGGTGGGATCAGGTGCCATGGACGAGCAAATTCCCCTTACCGATCACCTCCGCCGTGTGCTCTTTGTCATGAGTCTTTTTTCAAATGGAGAAATCCGTAGCAAATATACTATGAATCTATTGGCCTAACAATTTGTATTAAAGGCGTCAGTCAACATTCGATTAATATAACGAATTACAGATATAACGTGCAAATTAATATTTGGTTTGCTAATATCGTATTTCTCTGCAGATAACTTAATAAAAGAAACAACATATCGTTCAAGTTAATCGCCTCTGATATATTATTTTATTTTCCGACAGAATGTAAATCTCACCAGTTCTCCTGCTCAAACAAGCGCTGTATAACGAGGTCGTACCGGTGTGATGGCTTCAATGATTGTGGTTGTGAAGTGGACTGCGATGAACAAAATTGTGACGGCATTTCAATGGGTAAAATTTGAATTTACACTGTTGACTAACTTCTTAGTAATGGCTGTCTTGACTCAAGACAAATGTTTTCTCGCATAATCACCGGTGTTAGATAGACCTGTCTAGTGTGAGACAGCAGTGGGAGATTTTTCTGTCTTACACTGTGTATTACTACGCTGCGAACGGTAACGTAAGCATTCCTTCTAATATAATTCAGAATTATTTAAGAGGACTGAAATTTATTTCTAAGCTTACACGTAAGTGAAAACTATTTTCAGGTACGATTTCTTTGATGTATTCAGATTCTTAATTGGATGATAATTAAAAATATAATTTTTTCAATGGTGATGCAATGCCGTTATTCTAGATAAAATAATGCGAGAAAAATAATCATTTATTACATACCCGTGTAGGATTAATAGAATCATTCATTTCTACGAGTGTGGGATAGTGAAATTCCACCAAGGGGACAAGATTCACGGTCTAGGACGAGGCTTTGCCGAGTCCTAGACCGTGAATCTTGGCCCCGAGGTGGAATTTCACTATTCCCACACGAGTATGTAATGAATGATTATTTTTCTCGCATTATTTTATCCAAAATAACGGCCTGTCAATGACGTCGCCATGATAGGGCTAAAAATATATTCTTTTAATTTTCCATCTAATTAAAAATCTAAATACACCATCGGAGAGAGCGTACCTGAAAATGGTTTACACATAGTGTAAACTAATAAAATGAATTTCAGTCCATGTAAATTAATTAGATAGATAAAAACTGGGAATAAAAAAAAACTTATCTATCCGATAGCGTACACATTCATTCAAGAAGAATCCTTCCACGATCTAAAAATAGTGCCATTTAAAAAGTGAAAATACGACAATATTTTGAATGAAAATAAGTTTATCTTAATAAGTTAAATGACAACATTTTAAGTATATGTAATATTTTTTAACATTGTTACAATTTCTTTATATAAAGACGGAATGTTTACGTTATCGTTCGCGGCGTAGTAATACACAGTGTAAGACAGAAAAATCTCACACTGCTGTCTCACACCGGACAAGTCAATCTCACACTGGTGATTATGCGAGAAAATGAAATTCTACCTCGGGGCCAAGATTCACTGTCTTGGACTCGGCAATTAAAGCCTCGTCCTATACCGTGAATCTTGTCCCCTCGGTGAATTTCACTATCCAACACTCGTCGTAATGAATGATTCTATTAATCCTTAATTGAAGTGAATGTAAAAGAATAATACTCAGAAGCGTTGAATTTTAAACAAGATTCTCATGAACAACACGTCAAAATATGAAATGATGCACCGAATTGATAACCATAAATATCTTTCATTAAAATATGAAAACAAAAACTTTCATATTTTAAACAGTTTTTGTATTTATTTTCAGAAAAAGGTGCCTATATGGGCCTCGGTGTAGGTTTAGGAGTAGCTATGTTTGTAGGTTGCTTTATTGGCGTATTTACGTACGAAAAACGTCGAAAGCTGAAAGCAATGCGAGAGGAGGAAGAATCCCAGAGGGCGGCCAGGGGTCGGCGGGGGCGAGCTAAGGACAGCAAGAAAAGCAAAGACGACAAAGATAAGGATAAAAAAGTGGCCTGGCATAGTTAGTACACCCACCGCCACATTGCCAAGTTCCTCTCGTGCTTCGTTAATCAGTTCCAGATCTCGATCCCGAGATTTTATTTTTCGCTGTTATGTGACAGTCAATATACTCGCAACATGGCATATTTGGATTTTATTATTATTTTATATTTGATAAGTACCATGGCTAACAGTCTGAAAAAAAAATGAAGATGAAATAAAATGTTTATCTTTTAGAGAAACTAAACTATCGTTTTTTCGATGCTTGCTTCTTTAGGTTCATAAAAATAAAAGATGTGTTAAAAGTGTGTGTGAGGGTGAATGTGTGTGTGTGAGTTTTCAACAAATCATGTTTAAATATTTCCAAGGTTTGTAATGATGAATTGTTTTCTTTACTTGTTTGCATTTCATCAGTTTGATCTTGAATCAAATTAATCTGAAAAGTCAGATTGTATCCTGATTTTTACCCCCAAAAATTGATAAGATTGTAGATTAATTACATTTTACACCTTTCACGATGTCATTTGTTATTGTTGCATGACTTCACACCTGTACTGTTACCCAAAATTCACTATCCCATTACATACTAAAGGTTTGAAATCAGCAATGACATACTGTGTGTATTTTTCAGCTTATGCTGTTAAATTATTTTTTCATAAACCTAAATGTTTTGTATGATGATGTATACCACGATGTGGAGTTATGAATAATAACATGTTATGTTTAAGAGAAATAAATGATAACCACGTTGAAATGATGTTTGTTTTGTATATGAAAGAAATTTGGGTTTATTTACAAAATAAAAGCTTAAAAATAGGTAGAAAATAACTAAGAATATTTTTATACTAAGAATATTTTTATACTTAAAATCCCCCAAATCCTGTTTTGTTTTTAAATAAGGAAAAGAACAGCATACGTACAATCGATATCACTTAAGGACCCTATACACTAGAAGAAAGATTTTTTGGACATTTCATAGTGTGTAAAGGTGTACATATTGAGCTTATCTATCACTTTTTCAACTAGGGTACTTGCATTAACCCCCAAGGAAAATTTTCAAAGACAATGGAGTACTGATGAACAGAAATCACTGTTGTTTCCTTTAAAAGTGGGCAAATTACCTGCAAATGAAGTGTTCAATCTATTCATCTTGTCCTATTTAAATGTTCTGAATGCTTGATTTGATCACAAATTGAGTAATAATTTGTACATTTCAATTTATTTGATTCTTGATCAAAGGGCAGATTAAACCATCTGCATAAAAAATACTACAAAATCAGAGATATTTAGTGTGTAGTGTTTAAAGGGCTCTTAAGCAAATTTGTTGTTTGAGATAGCCTTACATTGGACAATTATTCAACCAGTTTGAAAAAGACTGCTTTGGCATTTTTAAGAGAAAAATATTTTATAAAAAACATATATAAAGTAGATCGTAAGATGATTATGTCATGAACCGTTCTTACACAAGACTAACGCAAATAAAAAGTCAATAAATTGTTTCATTAAGATTTAACCCATGCATTCCAGCATTACTTTTTAGCATTAGACATTAGCATATAGACATATTAAAAAAGTTTCGTATTTCTGGCTGTAAAATTTTGCAAACCTGTTTATTGTCTTTGAGTGACAAAATGAAATATTTCTAATGGAAGGTTAATTGTTCTTTAAGAATGTAAGAACTTGACGTCGTACGAAACAATCTCATTGATATATAAATATATATGTTGACATATAGGTATAGAGCAAATTGAAATTTTAGTGTATACTTTGTTCCACTCAGCAGTAGCAATGGAGAATTAAGTGATTGTTTTCTTTTAATGAATTAAATCTTTAGTGGTACATTTAAATGTTGTGCATATCATGGTGTATTTTGCCACACAATAAATTTATGCTTTTTTCAAATTAATAAATTAAAGCTCTTATCCAGACTTGAATCATGCTTTGAACTGAAGAAAAAATATTTAACTATGTAGTATTCCAACTGGTTCAATTGCAATTTGTAAAATTTTATCATGTTTTCTCGATTTGTAATCTTTGGAAACTTTCCTAAATAACGATTACGTAATTTTTATATTTTAAATAATTGATTTTTAATTTAAACAACATTTTTTTCTAATAATAAATGAAAGGCTCACTCCTCCATGGCACCACCTCTGATGTTTTAGGGGTCCGTGTTTGCTCTGCTCCTATTTTGTATTGTTTAATGGACTTTTGAGCTTGAATACTGTTCGTTATCTTCATATGTTTCATGATTAATTAATTAATTGAAAAAGGTGAAGGAAACGAACAGTGATAGATCTAAAAAAAAAAAAAATCCACAAACATATAAATCTGTAAACAGGGCATAAAACACGGACCCTCGGAAATTCCAGAGGTGGAATCAGGTGCCTCGGAGGAGTAAGCATCCCCTGTTGACCGGTCACAACCGCCGTGAGCCCTAATTAATAGCGGAAAAGTGAGACTGAGATCAAAAGTGAGCTCTCTAAGTTTTATGGCCCGAAGCCTGGTCTCCGAAGACTACATAGATGTTATCCATGAGGAACACCTGTATCCTTTTAATATCAACTTCAGAGTACTTGTATGCGAATCAGAGTGATTTTTAACAAAGTAATTTTGTAGATGACCAATCACAATTTCCGATTTCCATTTTTATTGAAGAAGCAGTTTTCTATGATACCAAAAAGCCTAGTTTTTAATTTATCGTGAGGAATGGTTGTAAAAAGTTTTTAAAAATCCACATTTCATTAACACCACTTCTAGAATATTCTGTAGCACAGTACATCTGAGGTTTCTCATTTACAGCAGTTAATATTTTTGTTAGGAGTAAAGATAAGGTTTTAGAAGAGCACTTGCTGGACCCTTCAATGTATCTTTTCTGTAAGGATTTTTATGAAGTTTAGGAATCCAGTAAAGGTAGGGTGGATCGAACTGACCTTGGACTGGAATGTTAAAAGTAACAAAGACTAAAATGTGATTTTGAAGAATTTTATCCTTAAAAAGTGTATATGTCAGATTTCCAGATGTAGAATTAAAACTAAGTTCTTCTAAAATATAGTAATAATGAGGCTTAAAAACAGAGACGATATTGTTACAAGCATTATTGCGTGAACCATGGCATATTGTTCATGTAATCTTTTAAATTTTTTTCACCTCCAGTTTAAACGGAAGGATAGATTGTTCGTATATTGCCTTTTATCTTTCTACGATTCTTTAATATATTTCTATAGCACTTTATCCATTCCGTCAAAGTATTTAGATCTTCCTCTTCATATTTCGTCCAACGTCTGGTATAATCTTCGACAAAATTCATAATATTAATGAAGTTCTGTCGCCAATTGAAAATAAGGAATCCCTATATTTAGGACCTTTAGAAATGATTGCTTTTAGATCGTCATCCTCAACTACATGTCTTTATTAACATTCTTAGTAATGCCGTGTACATCGGGAATATAGTTGAAAGAAGAAGAGCAAGACCATTTTTAAAAAGGATTTTTTTTTAAGATGTTCAGTGTCTAGAATCTGCAAGGTTTGTTTATAATTGGAAAGTTTGGAAGCAACAGTGTAGGAATATTATTAGGAAATGCAGGGTGCAGACCTCAACTTGAAATATGGTAGAATGCAGGACTAAACTTTTTTGAATTTAGAATGTTACTTATGTTCACAGCATTCATTCCTTTGTTAGCAAAATTAAGTTTAAGCAACTGACGGATTGAATCGGAATTATCTTCCGACAAAAGTGGCCGACTAAAGAGCCTGTGCTGGGCAACATCCGCAATTACAAACACTAGCCTGTATTCTGTGGTTGAAGGATCCAAGTATGAATCTGCTTTAATTTCTTTAAATACTAGTAGTCCATTAAAAATTCAAGGGAACCGAGTAAAGTTTAGTGCAAATGTGATGAAGACCTAAAAGTGAATCAAAAGAGACATCATGTATAGTTGGTCTAATCGTGATCGATGTCCAATATTCTTCTCATTATCTACGAAATAGAGTACTTAAAGTGGGACTATAAGTTGTATGATATATATTTCAAAACTTCTAATCCTCACTGAAAGGATAGAGTGGTCAGGCGAATTGAAATGTATATAAAGATGTTGATTGCCTCCGTCATTTATTTCAAACCTTTGCTCCGACATTCTCTTATTAAGTGAAGTTTTGGTTTACCAAATATAGATCAGTCCGCGTACATTCAATTCCGTAGGGAACGTTTGCAGTTTTACGAGTCAATTTAATGTACGCATGTGCATTTCAATCGGCATGATACGTCTTTGATATGTATTTCATTAATATCATTATTAATGAAATATGGAGACAACAAACAGTATTAAAGCTCAAAGTCCATTAAAACCATACAAATCGGGAGCAGAGCAAACACGGACTTCTGAAAACATCAGACGAGTGATCAGGTGTCATGGAAGAGTGAACATCCCCTGCCGACCGGTCACATCCGCCGTGTGCTCCTTGTCATGATCGTGAAAAACGGAAAAATCCGTCGACAATTCAGTGTGTAAATAATGCCCTAACAATTAGTATGAAAAACCTCAGTCAGCATATGACTATGATAGATTGTATTTGCTGACAAGGTCATTATATCGACCATAGAACTTACAAAATGATGACTTTAAACGACGCTGTTGATATTCTTGTTTTATCTAGTACCCGTGTTTTGATCGTCTCATTATTTTCATTTTAGGGATTATTTTGAAAGAAATTTAATGAATTTCACACCAAAGTGCACTCACATAAACAGAAGTCATTCCATATAAATTCATTCATAACGTTTGTCAAAATGATTTTGTGATTGGCACTCGATGATTGTCTCTGCGTGTGGTAATGTTAAAAGAATTCTAATTACTTCCTATCCCAATAGTATGCATATCCTATGATTACCAAGAATTTGGAAATTGTGTAACGTACGTCAAAGAAAATGAAAAGTTCGAGCACCTTCGCAGTTTTAAAAAGATACTATTCCTCCTTTAGCCATATTTAAGCCAGGGTAACCCACAAACCGATTGTCTGTTTTTGCTTCATTGTTCTTGCTTTATTCCCCCCCCCCCCGGTCCCCAACTGCAGAAAACCAACTGATAGAGTTTAACCCCAGTAGAAATAGGTACTAAATGTTTGTACTTCAGGTCAAAATGTACTGCTGTTTTTCATGTAGCCATCAATAAGAGTGCAATGACCAGGAAATGCTGCTTTAATTGTAAACAGCTGCAGTAGTTTTGGAAAAACAAAATCATAAATCAATCTTGCTTGTCTTGTTTTTCATTTCAAGGACTGTAACTTTCTATCCTTGAAGTATCGATCTGTCCTCAAGGGAAAAATGATAAATGAATAATGACTCTTTGGATATTATCACTGAAAACTGAAAACAGAACATTTAAAATGGAATACAAAAACGTAAATACCATTTTTTTTTTCATTTAGAAGTACAAGTTTCTGTGTAAACACGATTCCATAGCAAATCACACATTATTTCTTAACCTTTACTTTAATGTCAAGAAGAGAGTAAATGCAATGGAATTATTCAAGAATCGTGAGTGCTCGTAATTTGTCGATTTATTTTACGCTGATGTCAGCCTCAAAAACCAACAATATGATTTTTGTGATGATTTTTCCCCCTCCTTTTTTTTTTTTTTTTTTAATGTTTTTATAATTATTTAAGATGAGATACACATGTATACGAAAAAAAATAGAATAAGGAGAAAGCGTAAAAGAATCGACTAATTTATTTTCAAAATTAAAAGAAGTGATTTGAGTTCTTTTAATTGACTTCAATCCTTAAAATTAATAAAATTGTGTAATTGCTGTCAAATGGTAAGTAGACCATAAGATATGTCATCTGACACGACCATGTCCGTGACTTCGTTATACAAACACTCAATGTCATTAAAATTCACAATGCAGACAGCAAAACTTCCCGATTTGCATATATTTCCTTACGAAGTTTGGTCGTGCAATATATTTAATTAATTAGCAAATGATCCAAATCAATTGTACATACTTTTGTGTGTTTTATGCATTTATGACAAAGAAATCATTACAACATGTTAATTACTTCAGGGTTCACGCTTTCTGTCAGGTATATACATAACATTGCTTGTCTGAAACCCTTCTGTGTTCCCTAACAGCTCCAACAATAAAGCCGATTTTGGAAAACTATGGATTCTAGGATACGTTTGTCTGTAGCACTTGTATATATTGCTTTAGTGATAGCTCATGTATCCTGTGCGGTTACAAAGTGCTTTGAACCTAATCCACAGAAAGCCAAATATAACTACGATCCTAAGACCTGCTTGTGTAAGTCTTCTACTAGTTTTTGCTAATCATAGGTCAGACCTGGAAAGAGATTCATTATGATTTCAATGAATGTTGCAATTTGTGGTATACACACAACTGCAAAAGTTTTGTACACATGTAATTTTACCAGATGTAATCTTTACTATTTTGTACCTCTTTGAAACACAGCTCCTTCCCACTGGAACAAAATTTCATCTTCCTGGGGGAACTGCACAACCTTCTGGAATTTAAGACAGTCCCCTATCAACATCAACACTCTGGACACTGTCTACATGCCAATACAGAAACTGGGCTTTCATAATCTGTGTAAAAGAGTCAAGGGCAAGGCCACTAACAATGGTAAGGAACTATGATGAAAATTAAATTCTGCCAGAGAGAGAGAGAGAGAGAGATTTTATTTCTACATAAATTTAAACTTGTCTACCATAGTTATCTGTTTGTTTAATAAAATTTATCATCTATATTTAATATAGTTTAACAATTCACTGAAATATCAAAGAATGATTATAGACTTTGGATTAATTCAATGCAGAAAGATATAAGGAATCTCATATTATATCTTGTAATTAGGTTAGAAGGTTAGTATGTGTAGAACAAAGAGCTTCGTAAGGTTGTCATCCGTATTTATCAATACAGTGTTCTTAATTATTAAAATTGAAATATCTTTCAATTAATTTCTTGGTCTCTTTTTAAGAAATAATTTTTGAAGGACAATTACAACCATTTCTTATGTCAATATTTAGCATGCTGTAAAAAATGATAATTATCTTTCTTTCTAAATACAGTATTTTATGGAAAATTACATAGTTCTCTGATAGCTTAGTAGATCTCTTAAAGAATCAAAACTGTTAACTCCTGCCAAATAAAAAAAATTGACAAGAAACTTGCCAGAAATATGATACAAGTTTGTACGACCTCGTATCGCTTTCCGGAAGATATTAATTATTAAACAATTAAGAAACAAAAAATTGTCAATGTAGAAGTCTTGATTTCAAGTGACAACCACGTACATTTACATCTTAATTATATGTTATTTGCCGATTTGTGTCATTAAAATTTATCGAAATGCTCGTTAATTAAAATTGTCACCAGCCCAAATGAATTTCATTTTACAAGAGATTAACACACCCAATATTTTTTTTTTATTTACTGATGCTTTATAATTGTTAAAAAAGTTAATATTTATTCAATAAAAGGATATTATGCATAAACAACATGTAAATCTAAGAATTAAAAGAAAATGAAAGATAATTTACAAATTAAGAATTTGAATAATTTTGATTTTGGTTTCAGGTCATCATCCGGAGTTTGAAACTACCAGTAAGGACATAAAACTGTTCAATGTCCCGGGTCAAGGTCACGACCAGTTCATCTTTAAAGAAATCCACGTTCATACTGGCGTCTTGGAATCGGTCGGCTCTGAACACTCTATCGACAATAACTTCTCACCTCTAGAGGTATAGTTGGTCTTGAATTGCAAAATATAAGTTCTTTGCGAAAAATGTCGACTTATATAAGGAATTATATGCAGAATTATTTTCTTTGAATAAAGAAAAAATATTTCAGAACTATACCTTGCCGTGGTAACATAAGATCTTTTAAAAAAGAATATAGGAACAAAAAATGAATGTATCGTACTCATGCAGATAAAATGATCAACAATTTTCCAGATATGTTTATCGACCAAGAGGCGCCATCTGAAAAATATAGTCCCTGCAGAATACTAAAAGAGTTTATATGCAAATGTATGCACAGGGAAAAATGAATTAAATATTTACTTAGTGAATTCCTAATACAACTGATGGATATATTTAAGACTTCCTTCTAAATTCAACATAAGGTTACAGTAATAAAACATTGAAATTTTTCTTTTTTATCCATCAGGTACATGCTGTGTTTTACAATGAACATTTCAAGGATGCCAAAGAAGCAAAAGCCAAGAGAAATGGAATGGCTGTAATCGCGGTCCAAGTCCAGGTGAGTGAAAATAGTATATAGATCTTCCGGCAAAGGTCTCAGGGTTCAAATCTGAATATTTGTAAGGGAAGACAGTATTTCTGATGCAATAAAATGCATTTTATGATTGACATGTTAGCTGTTTTTTTTCTGTTAATTCAAAAGCAGATCATGGTAATATGACGAACTGTCACATTATTATGCAATCTTTTCTTAAAACTTTCTGTCAAGTTTTCTTTGAAAAGGAAATTTTCAAGTATCTAATCTGATTCTTAAACATTAAAACAAGGTTTTTTTTAAAGGTTGCTGCTGATGAGACGGAAAATGTTGACAGCGTGTCTTTGGAACTTCGAGACATGGTAATTTATCGAAACTTATCTTGTATTCAATCTGTTAAATTTTAGCAATATATGTTTTTTGCTAACATACTAAACATCATTCGAGGTATAGTGTAATTTTTTGCTGAAACATTTTCTTGTTTTTATTTTTAAAATAAGAATAAAAAGAAAGAGCTAGAGATAAAGAGGAATGGACGGTTACCGATATCTCTTTATCTATTTTCAGGAAAGAATAAACCAGGGTTGCCCATGTGCACCATTAGACCTTAGTTGTCGGAGAGAAAAATGTTTCTGTAAAGGAACAAATGATCTTTTCTGCAAAGCAACCAAAACCCACGTGTGCTCCGACAAGTTCGGAGAAGGTCTCGTTTGTCGTGCCTCTGGTATTGCTCGATGTACAGGGGACGAACAATGCAGTGGGCTAAAAAAATGTCGGCGGAACGACTTCGTCCAAGCTAATCAAACGCCAAATAATTTCTGTTCGCTTCCAAAAGTCTGCCGAGTGAGGTATGCTCACGAACTGAGTCACCTCATGGAGAAATATTACCAGAAAATTCAAGAATATAAGCCAAAATCACTACCAGGTAAATTCTCTTTCATGAAGTCTTTATGCTTTGACAGTTACATGTGCAGGAGTAAATTTTTTTTAACAAATGATAATTTTTGTATATTCAGATGCGAAAAAGTTTACCAGGATTTTGGAGAATATCACTCCAAGAGACATTCTTCCGTACAACTGGAATTATTATACTTACTCCGGCTCCCTCACCTCGCCGCCATGTTATGAGACAGTTCAATGGATTGTAATGAGGTGTCCAATAAAAATATCCAGAAGGGTGATTAAAGATATTCGTAAAATTGTTGATGGAAGTTTCGTTTGGACCTATTGGGCCCATCTTCTGACCTTTGGCTATGATATGATTACATAATAATATGTAAATTGGTTGAAGATTTCGATTGAACACCATTAGAAACCATACTTTTACATAATCATTAAAACATTCATCTTTTATACTTGCAGGCTTACCGAATGTTGCAGTTGATGGAAGATATAACACACACCCCACTGATGGCCCACGGGACGCGACGTCCCATTCAGCGTGGGAAATCTGGACTACATCGTGTGGAAGTGTCAAGGAATTTTCTATGGAACGAAGCCCAAGACGAAACCTTGTTTTGCGATGTTAATCAATGAAGACTTTTTATGTGCCGTTTTATTAACTTTTTCTTGCCCCTCCCCCTCTACCTCTTTTTACTTTGTGTTTTATACAATTGTTTATATTTAATTTATTATAGAGAATAAAATAATAAAAATTTGAACTATGTTGCATTTTACTTGAAAAGTACTGAAAGAGTATGTCGTCATCGTCTTCAAATGTCACTAGTTGTATGGGTAAACTTTTCACAGATCTATCACAAGTTTAGTCAATAAGCATTTGTGTAAATAGAAACAAAACTTGTATGTATGATATGCTGACTTTTCAAAAGCATTTGATACTGCATTGAGATCTGAAATAATGTAGAAAATCTTTTATAAAGGTATTGCTGAAAACTTTCATAAACTTCTATGTGACATTTACTCCAATGCAATGTATTCTTGTAAATAGGTCAGCATGATGAGTGAACTATTCAAAGCAAATAAAAGGGTTAAACAAGGTGATGATTTAAATCTTACATTGTTTAACATTTATGTTGATGATTTTTGAAAATACCTAAATACATATATTTCAGATACTTTACCAGCATATTTAGACTCGATGCCTGTTAATCACATGTTTTTGCTCATAATTTATTTTCAATTTCGGAATCTCGATCTGGGCTTCAACATTATCTGAATGTTTTAGAAACATTGTAGAGATTGAAAGTTAAAAGTAAAAAAGAAAAACAAAGCAAAAACAAAACAAAAAAAAGCAAAAATTAATAATAATAATAATATTACGATTTTTTCGAGAAAAGCATTCATGAAAGATATATATGGTTTTTATTATAAATACAACATTGTGTCCATAACAGATCAATATAAAAATTTAGGACTTGTGTTTACATCAAATGGAAAACTTCAGAACAACTTGCAAAACGTGATTAACATATCAGTGATATCACCACTTAAAAGTCCCATTTTTTTCATTTAATCTCAGATTGTTAAAAAAATCATTCAAAGTTTTTTTTCTTAATATTTTGTTGTATTTTTTTTTTTTAAATTCACCCTTAACCGACTTCGATTTTTCTTTGAAATTTCATAGAAAATCGTTCATATCCTTTATATGAAATTATTTGGAGCTGTAATTTATTAATAATTCTCTTTATCTTAAAGATTATAATTTATGTTCACTTTAAGTTTGAAAAATGTTATTATTCATTGTCAAATACACATGAAGAACTATAAAAACGTTTCGATTAGCTTTTCTTTATAATTAAAGTAGATACGGTCATGTGCAATATTCTTGTCATTTTAATAATATTATTTCATACATTAGAAATTTCTACGAGCGCTCCTTCTTAAAGAACATAAAGATCCAATACCTGTAAAATCTACCTTAACATACCATTTGTATTTAAAAAAAAAAAAATCTATATGTTTCTTTCTTTTAAGATTTTCAATTTTCAATCACAGCAAATTACTAAATAAATAAACAAGGACCTTGAGCTGAAAAAATACTTGTCATTCATTTTTTTTCATATTTTGTATATTTCTAATTAAGTATGTCCCACATATCTTAAAGCAGTTATATCATTAGGTTTCTAACTTTATTTTGGAGATATTGATTGACAAATACTATGCCCTACAGTATCTAAGTGGAGTTTTAATTCTCCATGTTTCCGGGCGCATTACTCTGTCCATCATGGGATTTTTTAAGCATACATAAAAAATTTCAAAGTGGACATGTATCTTTTAAAATATTTCAGAGTATACCTAGGATTTAAAATTCGAAAAAGCAAGTTTTGTCTCACACTGCATCTGGATAGGGAAAATTACGCACTTTTTAAGACAACTTAAACAATAAAAAACGTAATTTACAAAAAACTCTATCATTCAATATTTTTTAATTTACGTTGAAATGCAAATCCTTCAAATTATTAATTAACTGTAAAACTTTCGAATGATGAAGCTGACCTCATTATTTCACAGGACATCGTTAAAGAGGACATAAGCGTGACAAAAACGTGTCATGTTACATTTCTCGAGTACGGGAAAAACCAACTATGACGTCACACGTAAGCTAAATAAGCGAAATAAGATATACCTACATAAGATTTCCATCATCAGCCATGCAAAAATAATTTTTGTGTTCCCCGTTTCTCAAAATATTTCATCATATACTGATTATGACCTGTTTTTACATAATGAAACCGCCCCTCTGTTCACCGAGTATGATCTTGCTGTACTAACAGATCGTGTATGACGTCACCGACTTGTTGGACGCGCAGTTTAGGGAAACAGAGGAGTGGATCAATCTTTTTCATAATTTGTTAATATTTACAAGAATGTTAAAACTTTTTTTTTTATATATATATAAGATGGTAATTAAAGTTAAAAATTGTCAAAAAATTATACAAGAACTGATGCTTTACACGTTTTGCACTTATATAAACGGAGACTATGACGTAGTTAAACAGAGTCATGTGACCATGTGTCCTTCATCCCCTTAACTCACATGCGAAGTATTTCAATTTTTGTTTTAGTAATAATGTAGGCTAAGGTTTCAATAATGAATTGAACATATTTTATTGTATAAATACCGTACAAAATGTTCAAATACAATTCATACAATTTACAAGATTCTCAGATCTTAAATTTTCTGGTATAACAAAAACGTGTAGGTTAATATACCAGACTCTATAATAAATTGTACTGATGATAAAAAATATATATTGGTACTCAATCGCATGAGCATGCTTTGAGCACGATAATTTTTAAACCGAGGCAGACTATCGGCAGATAAGCTGATGTTGCAGGGATTTCAACAACCTCGTTTAAAATCAGCATTTCGTAAATTCTATAGTCGTTATAACGACCTTTTAAGCAAATATAATTTAATTTTGTTTGTATTCTAGCCTCTGATTGGTTAATATCCAAAAGGGAACACAAATTATTTCTGTATAACCTGGTTTGGTATGGGGACACACCCCCCTGACAACCAGCTGAATCGTCTGTATCCATGCAATCCTCTCATTTCCAGTCCTCGGGATTCATGGAAAATTCCAGATTTAATAAACGTACCTTTAACTTCAAACAGTAACTTGGATCTTACCACATGTAAACAAACAACATGGCTGCTAGGACTATGTATCAGTTTTTACCTCCCCTCGCTTCCCATCACTTCCGTTACTAGGGTTGTATTATTGAGCGGCAAATTTGAACTAATAAAAGCAACGAAATTTTACACCCACAGTTGTTTAATGATTTAGAATTAAATTATAAGGAATGACTCTAATTCTTGGCCAAATTAATCGAGTATAACCTGGTTTGGGTCAGTTTACGCTGTTTTATAATCCGCTTCGCGGATTATAAAGCGTAAACTGACCCAAACCAGGTTATACTCGAATAATTTGGCCAAGAATTAGAGTCATTCCTAAAATAACCTATCATTTGGTATTATTTTGGCTGACGTGCTTCATAATTATTATTAGGTCTTTGTTTATACTAAATTTGACTACGGAATATTCCGCCTACCTCATCAATACATAGGGCTTACGGCGGGTGTGACCGGTCGATGCTTACTCCTCCCAGGCACCCGATTCTACCTCTGGAATTTCCGGAGGTCCTTGTTTTATGCCCTGTTTACAGATATGTATTGATTGTAGATTTTTTTGAGATCGATCACCGTTCATTGTCTTCACCTTTTCCATTGATATCAACATTTTGTGATCCCCCTCACAAAAAATACAATAGTTAACTATAGTAACTCTATAGTATACTATAGTAACTATATAGTATCAAAGTTTTATACTATAGTTTATAGACTTTCTTCTACAAATGTCATAATTCAAATACAGTTGTGTCGTAGTTTAGTTTATGATATATGTCTCCATGACAAAAATTGGGAAGGGTTTTGAATCTTTTTTTTTTTCGATTCTACATTAAGAGATGATGAAGCCCTCTTCATTGCTTATACTTTGAATCCATATTCTTTGTTGAGGAAATATTGTTTTTGTCATGTACCAAATTGTGATGTACTTTAAACATAGTATTTGCTACTTTACGTCTTCTGCAAGAGGCTCCCAAGCTGTATTTCATGAATACACTCTAATCTTTCGATTCAATATGACGACTTTTCAATGCAGTGATAGTACTTTCATTTCATTACTTAAAGCCTTTACAAATATTCGATTGCTAAGTTTAATATGTTTTCAATATCAAAGTTTCCAAAGCTTTAATATTTTTACAGCTAAATCATGAATAAAACATTTCCATTGACATTAAACTTAAAAAAATTCGGGATTTTTTAAATTTACTTTTTTGATTACTATCGACGCTGATTATAATATTCTTTCGGAACACAAATTCTAGATTGATAAGGAATATTCAAAAATCTTCTGTTTGAATGCTGTATGAATATCTAGATAAATAAATTTTTTTTTAACATTTCCGCGTTCACTTGGGGCCAACGTGATATACATTAATGACAGCATTCCGTGCACTTGTCATGCATATGTATACACTGTATCATTATGCAATTAGAAAAGAAACTTCATTTAACCTTCGTTAAATTAAGAAAAAGAAAAACCCACAGTTTGTACCATTTTTTACATATGATATATGTAATGCAAACAAATGACATCTTTGCAATGACATGTTTTAATAACCACAATTATTATTAACCACGACGTTAGCATAAACATAATGTATCATTTATTCAATGATTAAGGAAATGATTTTTTAATGCATTTGGACGAAAATATGCAAATGTTCTATATCAAAATGATACAATGACAACTGCATTTAAAAGTAAATTGCTGTCATTGCTGTCATTAAAATATATAATTTCGAAACTATTATGATAATCGGAATTTCAGCTTGCAGAACACAGTAGAGATACCATCTATTATGCTTGTATATGCCTTTGGTTGACAAAGTATTTCAGGAACAATACTATAATTGCTTGAAGATGGAATGAAATTTTTAGGTTATCATAGTAAAGAAGGTGAATGCTTACATGTTTGGATAAATCGATTCGATATTATGATTGCCTTTTCATTTCCAGAGCAACCGAATGCATAATATAAAATTATGTGAGAGGACTTCCATGCGAGAGAGTTGCTTATTAGAAAATATTTTACAGTGTTTGAATGTTTCCCTCATAGAAAATTGCCTATCGGAG